TGATTTGTTTTTAGAGGGCTGTGAAAAGTCAGTGTACAACGGTGCATCATATACTGGTCGATACTGTAAATAATCACCAAAAAATATGACGTTTATGCCACCAAATGGAATTTGAGGATCGACATGTTTGGCAGCAGAAAGAATTCGATTGAGTATTGCAAGTAGAGTTAAACCAACAATACTCATCTTATCGATTGGAGATATTCAACGAGTGCCCATTGTTTTTCAAGTTTGGAATCACCTGACTTGATGGTGCGCGGCTTTCCAGAATTACGTTGTTCACCTAAAAATGAATGAATTGTCATGCCGCCAGTTTTAGCAGCAGCGATTCCAGTGAGTGCGAGTTTTCGCATCATCTGCATTCTTTTTGTAATAAGAAAGTATTTGGTGACAGCACGAATCAATTGTGATTTACCTGTGCCGCCGCATCCAGGTATGCACATTATCCGCTGACCATTGTTGGTACCTATATATATATTATTTTGATTTATTATTATACGTCTAGATTAATAAAATACCTTTATGACGTATTTTCTCACCATCAAGATGACTGGTTATTATCATAAATGCAGCTCGTTGTTCTCTATTCAATGTATATTCAACAATAATACTTTGCTGAGTGGAATAGCTTGTAGTAGTGGCTGTCGCAACTGGACGAATTGGTGTGTAATTATCAAGTGTATTTATGTTATAATTATTTGAACTGACCATAGTTACAAGTGCATCCTGTATACTATCATAATCTAATGTATCATCCGTTTTGTCGTATTTGCCTGTAATTAAATTTCGTCTAACTCTTTCTTTCTCAGTCTTTAGTTGTTCTTGCCATTTTGTATTGAGTCGAACAAGATTAGGTGTTGCTGAAACGAAAGGCACAATTCGTTGATTCGTTTCACCAACAGCTTTATTAAAAAGATGACGAGTATGTGCTATAATAAATTCTCATCGTTATTTTCTACCTTAGTGGCAATATATTAATATAATACTTACATTGTATATCAGAAAATCGTCCAATGTTTTCAACCACTTGAATAGTTTGTTCGATGTATTTGCTTTCTGTTGATTTTTTCATGGAATTCATCGCAGTCGTAGTATGTTTGTCTAAACTACCGAGTAACTCAAGTAAATCTTCATTGTCGTCGATTC